ACAAATTTACCGCCAAAATCTGTTAAAAACCAGAACAAACTCAGTAAGTTGGAAATTTCGATATCGTAAGACTATAAGCCATGAATTCCAGTTCTGACACGAGCCCTACTGGTTGCGAAGCTGACCTTGTGTTCGGAAAAAGACTGCAGCACCCTTCCTCCTTGAGCGTAGCTTTTTTTATCTTTCTTATCATCGTTAACCTCCTCACCTTTCCAGTCACCGCAGTTTTGAACGCGCTTGTGATGATCTCTGTTCAGACAAAATCACGACTAAGAGCACACAAGTCCAACGTTTTACTGGCGTTCCTGGCTTTGACAGACTTTACAATCGGGATTCTAGTTCAACCTGCCTTCTCCGCGGTATTAATTATGTTGTTACTTAACGAGCCTCGTGGATACTGTGTTCTGAAAGTCCTTAGGCATGTGACTTTTGTTGTCAATGCTTCGCTTTTTCACTTGGTTTTGCTAACAGGGGAGCGGTACATTGCCATGAAGCATCCTTTTTCTTACCTTACCTTCGTCACCGAAGGACGCTTGCTTTTTGCCAGCGCAATGGCGTGGTTCTTGTCCATTTCTCATTCCGTTCTTTTACTTTTAAGCCAACCTGTGTTTTTCATCTGCGTAACCATATCCGGTATTCTATCGTTTGCCGTTATTTCTTTCTGCCATGTTACTGTTTTTGGTGAAACTCGTCGACACGAACGGCAACTTGCAGCTCAACAAGTGACATTGGAGGCAAGGGAAGAATTTGAGCGCAATAAGAAGGCTTTTAAACTCACATCTATAATCCTTGTTTTACTGATTTTATTGGTTTTAATACCTACGGGCACTTTGCCAGTCGTTCTATTTAGTTACCGTGAATTCACTCCAGAGGCGGTGTATTTGTTTTTCTCCTCTACTATGTCGCTAGTTTTCTTGGACTCACTTCTTAACCCGATTGTCTACGCGTTGAGATTGAGACAATTTCGGGTCGCAATTATTGAGTTATTGTTCAGAACTGTAAACACTGTCGACGCTGAAGAAATTGAGATGCGATTTTTTGGAGGACCTAATGCTGTGGTTAGAGTTAACAGAGTCAAGGATAAGCAAGATCAAGAAGAGCAAAATCAACAAAATATGACTGTTGAAAATGTGTAATCCGGCAACAGCAAACGCAACAGTAATTCTCTGCCTTAATTATGAAAAACATTTGCCTTGAAGAAGAATTGAACAGTGACTTGAACTCTTTAAAATGCCAATTATCAACATGGTATACAAGCGCTTCAGTTCATTTATTTGTAAATATTTTTCATTAATTTTTTTTGCGTTTCTTAATGGCTCAAATCCCATGGCTTATTTTTCTTAACAAGCTAAGTTTGACCAAATTTGGCCTGATATCCCAGCCTGCGAATACAACCGTCTCTCCTCGCTCCTCGCCTTAAGGGACGTCTTCGTTTACAAGGTGGTCATGAGACAAGTCGTGCTAGTTGCGAAGCTGCAAAAGCTGACGAAAACGAAATCAAGAAGGACTAGCTGAAAAAAATATGAAATGTGCGTGAAAAACAGTGACCATCATAACTTTGATGTGGTGACTTCACACGAAAACTAAGTATGTTGTCAGAAACACTGAACTGTTCAGCTCCTTAATTCATTTGAAAATATTCTCCATAGTCATAATTTCAATAGTTAGTGACTCAAGATAGCATTTGTTAATTTAAAAAAATCACGTATTACAAATCTGTTGTAAGTTGTGTTTGTAAAATGTATTTAAAAATAATTTGTTTAAAGTGAGTATAATTTGTCCATATTTTGAAGTGGGCGGTGGTTTTGAAGTGGTTATCGTTATGATTGCATTTTATAAAATAATCTGCTTTAACGTTCTCAAGTAAACTAAAGATTTATCAGCTATTCAACTAGAATGTTTACATGTTTATGTTGACAACAAGCAAATTGAACAAGTCAAGGAAAAAGTTTTTCTTGACATTGTTCTTAATGAAAATCTGAATTGGAAACTAAGCCCATATTTCATATGTGGCGAACAAATTTTCCAAATCTATCGGAAAAATATATAAATGTAGTTTTATCCTTTCCAAATCTGGTCTTAATAGCCTGTTCCAGGCGTTCAGATAGTGGGGAGCGGTGCAAAGTAAAAGGGAGCGCGAAAAAGTAAAAGCGAGGGAGGAGGAGAGGTGAGAGAGGGAACGCCTGTTAGATTTGTTTTAAATAGACTCTTCCGCCCAGTCAGACCGCATCAGCTGTAGGTGGTCTTCACTTGTCAATCAAGACTGGTGTTACAGCCCGATGCATTTATTATTTTTCTTGCGAATAAATCGAAGTTTGTCAGATCAAAAATTAATATTATGTATACATAATCTTACTAAAAACCCAATGTAAGACTTTCAGACAATAGAAGGCGGGAGAAGTATTCATGTATAATGAATTTATTTACGGCTTTAAAAACATGATTTCAGCGTGTACGTGACAAAAAATTATGAATCAAGTGACAAACAAATATCGCTCATTTCGATAGAAAGCCGTTTCAATACAGATCGTTAACTCAAGCAATGAAAATGCACAACAATTGAAGGGAAAATTTACTATTCGGTGATTGAGTGGACCTCGTCAATAGCGATAGCGGCAACTTGCTTTCCAAGCTTTTCTTTTTGAAGTCCTTTTGTCCATTCATTAGACAACCACGATTTGGCACTTCAGTAAACAATTTCACAGCTTCCACTTTTAACGGCTTCATCCATATCTTCTCCCATCATTGCCGCCGCTACTCCGATCTGACTTGTTCAAATATTCCACTTGGTCCATGATGGTAATCAACGGAGTTACCACAACAATCGTAAATGGCATTCTATCCTGCCTTCATTCCAACGCACGCTTTATTCGAGGAAAAAACTGGAAAATAAGAATTTTTCCAAAGCCAGTCGGGGAGAAATTGCTAAGACATCTATCCTACCGACTACGTGTTTTAAACAGTTTCTTTGCTTTTCGCTTTTAGCCTCCACGTTTGGAAAGTCACTCAGCGCTGTGTTTGTTGCGAGTTTGAATTCTGCGTGACGGCACGTAGAGTCTGTCATAACGGCCATATCGCATTTCTCGCTCTGATCGAAGACGCTCCACTGTTGACAAAAACTGTCAAAATCAACCAATCAGAGGGTATACCAGGATCTGGTATACTGGAACGCACTTTTGTTAAGAATTCTTACAAGCGTTCCAGCACCTCTCTCCCCAGTCCCCCTCTACTTTTCATCGCTTTCTCTACTCCACACCGCTCTCCACTATCTGAACGCTTGGAACAGGCTATGGTCTTAAAAGCTTGTACTATTCTATGGTATATCCTTATCTCTTTTACTACAACATCGTCTGGGCTTCCACTTATAAAACAAACCTGCTCTTAACCTGCTCATCATGTGACTCTACAAAAGTGCGTGATCAGAAATATAATAAATCTGCCTTTGATGCCTCTTTCGATCCCATCTACAAGGAGCATCGTAGGTTAAAACTTCTTGGCAAATTTATGTACTCTTATAAACACTCACTTTTACCCATTAGGTTTGGAAATACTTTTCCTCTTAATAATCAGACTCATAACTACAATACAAGAAATGCTGTTGCTTTCAAGTTACCCTTCTGTAGAACAAACACTAGACAATTTTCTGCAAGCTATCAGGAGAGGGTCCTAAATACTTTAAGTCCTTATAGATAATGACATTTGTAACTCAATCTCTCTTTCTTTCTTTAAAATCAGTCTGAAAAATGATATTGTTAACAGCTATTAGTCAAGAAGAAATGAATAGTTTCATTATCATAGATAAAGTTTACCTGTCCTCCAATTACAATATTTGTCGTTTGTAATGTAGCCTATGATGGCCGTAATTTTTAGTATTTATTGATTTACAAACTGATTGTTGTTACTCGTTTACTGTATCTTCACATGTTCTTTTTTGGAATTAATTGTCATAGCTGTGCATGTGTAGCCATCTGATGAGTTGTAATTGATGAAGCCTTACGTTGTAACAGTGCTGTTATAGGCCCTGTGGTTTCTATTTAAGGATTCCTCGCCACTTTCGTTCTGTAGTGTAGTTTTTTCTTTCTTTCCTTGTGTGGCAAAAACAAAATAAATAAATAAATAGATAAATATAAATGTGAGGCTTTTCTAGATAATAAACAAATGATTAAGTTTGATCGACCGGAAAATCAAATCGCGACTATTGTGACACTCCTGAATATTTGAAATATCGCACTTTATTGTGGCGGGCACTTTGTGAACTGCACGTGAAGAATCTATTGCAGCTGCAAAAGAACAGCGTTTTCCTTTTCTAAAGTATTTAAAATAATAATAATAATAAACAGGATAATTAATTACTGATACATCATCCAAATTGTCGTTATCATAGTGGTTGCTGTTTTCATGCTTGCCATGCGATCGAACGGATTCCATTTTCTATCGTTGCTTGATGCAAACAAAAAATTACAAAGCGAAAAACATTAACCTAGAAGTTTTACGCAAGTGGAATGTAATTGTTTTCGTGCAAGAGCTGTTAACAACAAAAATGTGTCGAGCACGCAGGACAAACTGTAAATTAATAAAAATAGCTTCATTTCCGTCGATTTTCGGACAATTTATTCTTGTTTCCCTCGTCGGAAAAAGAAATCCTACATACACTTGCGTATTCGTATTGTTTGCTCTTTCATCTCTCGCTCGTCCTAATTGCGCCTGGTTTTAGAATTGCGTTAGCGTCTCTCTTATCTTAGCTGTGAGGTAGCTTGTCTTATGCAACCCGTTTTTTTTAAGACGTTAAGCGGATGTTTAGAAAATGAAAGAATTATCCAAACTTAATTATCGGCCGAAAATTTAACCATACTAATGCGAAAACGTATATTAAAAGATCTGTGTACAAAAAGCTTAACAAAGGGTAAAGGATAGCAGATGTTTGCTAAGACAAAAACTCAGTTTACCGTCCAAATCTTTTAAAACCCAAAATGAGTTTATTGAGAAGTAGGGAGTCCGATATCTCAAGACGGCGGGGAAGCCATGAATTTCAGTTCTACCACAAGCTCTGCTGGTTGCGAGGCTGACCTTGTATTTGGCAAAAGACTACATCACCTTTCGCCCTCGGGCGTAGCTTTTCTGATCTTCCTCAACATCTTTAATATCATCACCTTTCCAATCACCGCAGTTTTGAACGCGCTGGTGATGATCTCTGTTAAGGCAAAATCACGACTAAGAGCGCACAAGTCCAAGAAATTTTACTGGCGCTCCTGGCTTTGACAGACTTTACAGTCGGGATTCTTGTTCAACCTGCCTTCGCTGCTGTGTTAATCATGTTGTTACTTGACGAGCCTCGTGGATATTGCGTTCTGCAGGTTCTTAGATGTGCTTTAATAGTGCTGCTTAATTCATCACTTTTCCACCTGGTTTTGCTAAGTTTGGAGCGGTACATAGCCATGAAACACACTTTTTCGTACCCTAGTCTCGTGACTGAGGGTCGCTTGCTTGTTGCTAGTCTATTATCGTGGTTGTTTTCCGTATTTCAGACAGTTCTACTTCTCGTTAGCAAAACAGTGTTATTGCGCAGCGTGATGATTTCTACAAGTCTATCACTTGTTGTGATCTTTTTCTGCCATTTCACTGTTTGCCGTGAAATTCGCCGACACGAAAAGCGAGTTGCAGCTCATCAAACTACGCCAGAGGCAAGGGAACAATTTGAGAGAAATAAGAAGGCTGTTAAATTAACCTTCGTAATTCTTGCCGCGTTATTATTGTGTTTTACACCAAGATTGTTCTGTTAAGCTATCATAGTGATATAACTCATATAACTCATGAAGCACTAGTTATGATTTTCTTTTTTTCTCTTTCGTTAAGTTTCTTCAACTCGTGGCTCAACCCAGTTATTTACGCATTGAGAATGAATCAGTTTAGGCTAGCGTTTATTGAGATGGTGTTTAGAACAGACGAAGAAATTGAGATGGGGCGATTTTTGCGAGTTCGTAACTCCTTGGTTAGAGTAAACGTTGAACAAGACAAGAAGGACAAGCTTAACAAAATGTCTATGCAACAACAACAATCATAAAACTGACGTACTGCCTATCCTGGTATCATGTACAGTTGTACATTCAGGGGAAAGGAATTATATAATAATGTTCTCTCTTAAATTATGGCACAACAAGGCGGTTCGAATCATCTGTTTCTTTGATGACGAGCTTCGTGGGCCTGGGCTTAAGGAGGCCGTTAAACTCGCTTCCATAATACTTACTTTGTTTTTGTTGGTTTTATTCTCTAGAACGCTACACCAATCATTGTAACATATATAGATTTAGCCAATGCTAAAAGTTTGACCGGTTTAAACTCCCAACACCATGCAACAGGGTGTGCAAACGGACGCATTATGTAAACGCCAACAATGTTGGGAGATACACAAAAACTAGCGGATATTTAGAATATGAAAAGATTATCCAAGCGTAATTATCGGCCGAAAATTAAACCCTACTAATACGAAAATGCATATTAAAAGTTCAGTGGACAAAAGGCTGAACAAAGGGTAAAGGATGACAGATGTTTGCTTAAACAAGAACACGGTTTATCGCCTAAATCTTTTTTACAAAAGAACGAGTTCAATGAGGAGCCGAAAGTCTGATATCGTGGGACGAGAAACCACGAATTTCAGTTTTACCACGAACCCTGCTGGTTACGAGGCTGACCTTGTATTTGGCGATAGACTACATCACCCTTTCCTCTCGGGCGTAGCTTTTCTGATCTTCCTCATCATCTTTAACATCATCACCTTTCCAATCACCGCAGTTTTGAACGCGCTAGTGATGATCTCTGATAAGGCAAAATCACGACTAAGAGCGCTACTGGCGTTCCTGCCTTTGACAGACTTTACTGTTGGGATTCTAGTTCAATCTGCCTTCGCCGCGATGTTAATCATGTTGTTACCTGACGAGACTCGCGTATATTGTGTTTGGCAAGTTCTTAGATATGCTAGTATTTTTGTCCGTTGCTTCCTCGCTCTTCCACTTGTGTGTGTGTTTTTTGGTTTTTTTTTTTAAGCGCAGAGCGGTACATAGCCATGACTAATCCTTTCTTTTATATTACCCGAGTTGGTCACCGAGGGTTGCTTGCCCACGTTGTTGCCTACTGCATTGGCGTGGTTCCTATCCCTATTTCAGACAGTGCTTCTGTTTCTCGTTAGCAAAACTATGGTCTTGCGGGGTACAGCAATTTTCATTCGTGTATCTCTGCCGGTAATCTTTTTCTGCCATGTCACTGTTTTCTTTCAATTCGCCGACACGAAAAACAACTTGCAGCTCAGCAAACCACATTAGAGGCAAAGGAAGAATTTGAGAAAAATAAGAAGGCTATTAAACTAACGTCCATAATCTTTGCTGCGTTATCATTTAATTGTGTTTTATACCTGGAAGCACTGCTGTCACTGTTGTGTCAAAGTTTTAGTGGTCAGTGTAACTCATGAGACAATTTTAATTTTTGCCTTTTTCCTAATTTGTTAAGTTTTTTAAGTTCTTGGGTGTGCCTTTTAGAGTGTTTCGTTGTTGCTTCGCTCTTTCACTTGGCTTTGTTAAGCAAGAAGGATTGCATATCCAGAATCAACCTTTTTCATACCGTTGCCCTTTTCATGGCGACGATCGCTTGTTTGTTGCTAGTGATTTAGCGCGATTCTTGATCATACTCCAGACAGTTGTATTTTCTCTTGAGCAACAGGCTCCTTCCGCAACATGTTTGCCTCTACAAGTATGCCTTTTGCGATGATCTTTTACTTTCATGACACAGTTTGCTGTGAAATTCGCCGTAACGAACAACAACTCGCAGAACAGGCTAGCATGCAATCGACTCAAGAGGCAAGGGAAAAATTTTATAGCTATTAAAAGGTTGTCAAACTCACAAGGACATCCATAATCCTTACTCTGTCAATATTGCTTTAATTGTATTTTTTAGAACGTTGCTAGAAGTGTTGTATTGAGATATCGTGGTGATAAAAAATGTGAAAAACACAACCCCGAAAATCTTACGTATGTTATAGTAAAAGAAAGCCCTGAATACATTATACGTGGAGCAGTTATCCTTTCTAGAGCTTGACAAATTTCTAGGCAATGTTTCCTCCTTCCCACAGTTATTTTACAGACGAAAGTGATTGGCAGCCCAGACATCTTTGGACTATAATGTAACAATCGAGTCGACGTGATTTTATGTACAGGAGGTAGCGACTGAAAACTGGTTCAAATTGGAAAGAAATTTGGTTAATGTGGGTATAATTTGTCCAAATTTTGACAATGTACTGCGGCATTAACCTAAAAGTCTAATATCAGTTTTTCAACTAGAATGCGAGGCTTACCAAGCGATGAGCAAACGTTCGAATAAGTTTGATCAATCGGACGATCACTAAATCGCGACTTTTGTCTGTCCAATATTTGAAATAGCGGACTATTTTTTTCTGCGGTTTTTTTCGTGTAGTACATGTACAGAATTTGCAGCTGCAGAGGAAAAAAACGTTTCGTAACTTATCAACAGAAACAATAATCAAAAGGATAAGTTTTTACAAAGAAAATATCGAAATTGACGATATCGTGGTTGCTGTTTTCATGCTTGCCATGTTAACGACTAAAAATTGTCGAGCACGCAGAATAAAGTGTACTGCTCCATTTCCGTCGATTTTCGGACAATTTGTTTTTGTTTTCCACGTCGGAAATATAAATCCTACATACACTTACGTATCTGCATTGTTTCTTCATAGTATCTTTCGCTCTTTCCTATTGCGCCCGGTTTTAGAGTTGCTCCAGCGTCCCTGTTACTTAGGCTTCACGAAAGCAAGGAGTGACATTATTTCTTAAGACGTTAAGCAGATATTTAGAAAATGAAAATACTATCCAACTTTAATTATCGGCCGAAAATTCAACCATACTAATGCGAAAATGCATATATAAAGATCAGTGTACCAAAAGCTTAACAAAGGGCAAAGGATGGCAGATGTTTGCTAAGACAACAACACAGTTAACCGCCCAAATCTTTTAAAGCCCAGAACGAGTTCATTGAGCAGTAGAAAGTCTGATATCGTAAGACGAGAAGCCACGAATTTCAGTTGTACCACACGCCCTGCTGGTTGCGAGGCTGACCTTGTATTCGGCAAAAGACTACAACACCCTTCTTCCTGGGGTGAAGCTTTTCTGATCTTCCTCATCATCTTTAACATCATCACCTTTTGAACGCGCTGGTGATGATCTCTGTTAAGGCCAAATCACGACTAAGAGCGCACAAGTCCAACATTTTACTAGCGTTCCTGGCTTTGACAGACTTTACAGTCGGGATTCTAGTTCAACCTACCTTCGCCGTGGTATTAATCATGTTGTTACTTAACGAGCCTCGTGGTTATTGTGTTTTTCAAGTTCTTAGATATGTGATTATAGTTATGGTTAATGCTTCGCTTTTCCACTTGGTTTTGCTAAGCGGGGAGCGGTACATAGCCATGAAGCATACTTTTGGTTACCCTTCTCTCGTCACTCGTTATTGAGTTATTGTTCAGAACTGTACACGCTGAAGAAACTGAGATGCGACTTTTTGGAGTACCTAATGCTGTTGTTAGAGTCAACAGAGTAAAAGCTGATCAAGATCAAAATGAAAAACCTCAACACGATGTGAATGAAGAAAACGTCTAAGAAAGCAAAAACAACAACCGAACAGCAATGATTCGTAACACTGATGTGCTTTCTATTCTTGCATCATTTATGCCTGTACATTCTAGGCAAATTATTTAATACCTCTCTTTCCTAAATTGTAAAATTTCAGAACCGGGCGGTTCACTTAATTCAGGGGTGTTTATTTGATGAAGCTAATTACTTTTAACCAGGTGTTGTTAGGTTTGTTGAAATTGGTATATTATTTAAAACGTCTTGCTTGAATTATTGTTCTTAGATGATCGGAGTGATATAACTCTGGCCAAGAAATTTAGTAAGAACGTTTTCCGCACCGTGATTTCTCGTATTGGCAAATGTTGTCTTTTGTTTGCCCCCCTGAAATACCACGTGGCATTGCTTTTATCCCATCGATCATAAAGCGCATGCAAAAATGGCGGGTATGGTCTATGACTGTTGCAACCCTCCTCTCTGGGTTCAACATTTGTTATCTTTGTCATTATCGTCAACCTCGTCACCTTCCCAGTTAACGCAATTTTGAACGCGTTGGTGATTATATGTATTAAAGCAAAATCTGGACTAATAAGGCACAAGTCGAACATGACACTGGTGGTCTTGGCTTTCACAGACTTAAGCAACCGCGATTTTAGTTCAACCTGCCTTCGCTGCAGTGTTATGCGGTTACTTTACGATCCTTAATGGATAATTACTGAGGCACATGGCATTATGAGAAATATTAGAGCCAGCTGAGGCCGAAGAGGTACACTCGGAAAAAAAGTTAGTTAAGTTGGTTGAGAAGGCATGACATGAAAAATCTTCAGTTTCAGCCTAGTGTTTCAACGAAATTTAACGAGTATTGCAGCTGCCTGTTCTAAATTTTAACTTTGACTTGTGCTAAATTATGTTTCGGGAACTAATGCAACAGTCTTACTGTAGGTAAAGTTCAGTTATCCTTTCATGAAGACGAATGTAGTGATGTTAAGATTTTTATGCACATTACAGGTTTCACCTTACTGAATATGGAAAAGCAATGGCAGAGAAATTTGGCTTTACGGATGACATCGATGAAAACGGATGCGTCATTGCCAAAGTTTACTACCAGCTGCTGAGGAAAACTTCTCGAAAAGGACGGTTAGTGAACGTTTGTCTTCATAAGATAAAGCCACTTCGTGTTCAGGGTCTCTCTTCTTCCCGTCCTGTCCCGTCCCGTCCCGTTCCTCACTCGCTTCAAGGGATAGAAAGAACAGGACACTGGGAACGAGGCTGCGGATAAAGTGGTGGGTTAAGCATGACATGCTGACAGCGTTTTACCGCAGTAACTGTATAAACTGCACTTTATGTTTAAGATAAGATAAGATAAGATAATTTATTTACACAGGGGGGTGGTCTCCCAATCCCCCGAGCCACGGGCTCATGATAAAAGTGTTTGACAATATAAAAGAAAAATCAATTAATTAATTAATATCTCAATAGTAACCAATTAACTTTAAAAAAAAAAATAACATCCATCTATAAAAATAAATCGGGTCAAAGGCAATTGCTGCATTGACAGCCGATAAAATTTAACTTAGTTAAAAGTCTCCGAAAGGATGATGCATTAGGTGCGTTTTTTACAGCAGATGGCAACTGGTTCCAGATGTGCGAGATCATGTACGCATATGAACCATGAAGGAATCTACTATTATATGAAGTTTGAACAACATTTAGACCGTTGCTTCTAAGATTATATGGTGTAACTCGGGCTTTGAATAAATTGGCTACATAGCCTGGACCATTCTCCTTGAAACATTTAAAAAATATCATTAACGATTGTTCTATGCGTCTATGTTCCAAGGTATTCATATCTGCCATCCTAAGAATTGATTCATAATCGGTACTTTTCCCCATGTTCATTATAGTTCGTAGACCATAATAGTTCGCATCTTCCAGTTTCTTGTTAAGTGTTCTACCTATACCCAAAAGTAAAGAGTTGCAGAGTTTCATCCTCCTTCACATTCTTCTTTTTTGTAAAAGACGCTATGTCACGATTTTTTGGTTTTGGTTAAAACCCTAAACACATTGGGTTTACAGAAGTCCCCAATATAATGGCTCAGTTGTTAAAAAGTATTCCACCTGCAGTATAATTGCGTGTGTTTGTTGTTCGATAACCAGGATGTATATGCCTAGCAACGTGAGAAATAATGGGCCAACTCTTTAACGTGCAACTCTTTTCTTGATGGAAAGTTGCAAAAACATTACGCTTTGTTTTGCTTATTGGAGAATTGCATTATATTTTTCTTTTAGAGCTCCTAGTGTGAGGAAAGGTGACTCAGGATACTTAGGTTTTCTTTCATCTCAGTCTTGACCCAAAAATGTGTAACCCACTGTAACTCTCCGCGACTTAGCTCCCATTAAAGAAAACGCAGGAATGCAATTTCTTTTGTCGTGTTCCGTTGATACTAGGGAGCTTAAACAACCACGATAAGGACGGCATCGAGAACATCAAAAAAGCTATAGATTTGATTAGCCAAACAATGACTCTGCATGTGTATCACGCTTTTTTGCACATCTTTGAGGCTCGTAGACCAACTACGACGTGAAACTTCTTAATGTGACGTTTTATAGAGGACGTGAACACACGAGGACGAATTTTCTTTTTAATAGACTATTTTACAGTTGTGAACTTAGTAGCCCAGCCTTTAAGTGAACGTGAGGCTGAGGTTGACCTTGTTTTGATACAAACCTCTTTCCTTTTCTTGTGGAAATTATGCTTAAAAATACCAGTTTGCATAAGGACAACATGATTTACATAATAAAGCACGAAGGGTTGTATCAAAACAAGGTAAACTCCAGCGTCGTTTCCACCTTTAACAATAAAATAGTCTATTTCCCTTTTTAGAACATAGAACCGCTACATTTGACAAATTGATCCATGCTATATCAACGAAAGCATGCAAATGCATTTCACCGTGACGTTCTCACTGCCGTCGTCGTAGTAGCAGCGACCTGCTTACGAAACTACGACAGTAACAGTGGCAGTGAACGTCAAAAAAGGCATTTTTTTTAATTTAGTGATCAAAACAGCATACATTTCTGCATGTTTATCACTCTTTTTTGTAAATTTCTTTTCCGTCCCTGCGCAAATACCTTGTGAAATGACTATCGTAGGGTCCCTGGGCCCAGTTGTTCAAAGGCCACTAACCGGGGGTTAAATTTTCATCCGGGTTTCCTTTTTTGTTGTTCAAAAGTATTTTCTTTATTCTATTTAGGGCATCCTTCTCATCATACTGTAGACCAAGAGAATTGATCAGAGTTTGCCTTTTTAGCTTTCATATCTGGATTCAAATTTTGCACTAACCCTGGGTTACGTTTACCCAGCCCAGAACAACCCGGCCCCGGTTGCTATCCTACAATTTATTACACGAACTTGGCGAAGTGATGCTGGTTTGCCTTTTTCTAGATCCTCTGCTAACAGCATTGACGACGGCCGAAGATGGTGCGGAGGAAGGTAACTAGTAGTTTTAGAGTGCAATACTGTCAGTGCATACTGTAAAATCCAGTCGGGAACCTAGAGTTGCTCCTGAGGAAAGAAATGGGCCCTTACAGTAAACTGCTAATTTTTTTATTGCATTGTAATAGCCCTTGTGCTTGTTTACGTCAGACAAGCAAATTTCACCACCAAGCCTCCTTTGTGAATAAAATTATTTGCATTTGCACTCTTTGCATAAGTTTTTTTCTTTTTTTGCAAGAAGTCAGCAATGGCGGTATTCTGTCGTGTAACTTGTTCCATTTGGTTTGGATAATCCTCCGTTTGCGTTTCACGCTCTTTTCAAATAAACCGTTAATCAATGGAATTTTGTTTTTCTATGTGGATCGTGCTTCGAAAGTTGATCTCGTAGGAATAAGCTTCAGGAGTTTCAGTATAGCCTTTTAGTGTATAATGACAATTGTAATTGTTGTGACAGCTTTTTTTGTAACATCTAGTGTATGTGCTTTTTTTTTCGTTATTTATAGTGAGTCTCATATGTTTAACAAGTTAGAAAGCATTGCGCAGTCCGAGGAACCAAGAACTCCTGTATTAGGCTGCAGAATCAGCAAATCACTTGAGCCTTCAGCTGTTGGCAGCGAGGTAAGACTCGATGGTGTCAAAACTGGGAATGACTCTGAGAAAGATAAAAGGACGTTTAGGGAGAGTGGTGAAGCAGCCTTTAGACAGATAAATGGTCGGATCAAGAGACCGACCGGTGGAACACCGTCATTTAATAGACCGGGATTCGGTAGACCCACCTATATATACCCACCGACCGACAGACCGATCTACAGACGTTCCTGGACTTACCGTAATGATGGTTAGAATTACTGGTCGACGTTTAAATATGTCACGGGAGCAACTGGATTGTGTCTAGTTCTTACGGTTTAGTTAGATTCAATGTGTTAGTTTTGTTTTGTTTACCTATTTGTCTTCGTTAGTTCATGACAAGTCGAGTTAATTGGGTTGTTCAAAGCTCTGCGGTGGACTATCTGCACCTCATGTTGGTCTGTATGAAATGGCTCTTTACTAAGTACAACATTGACGGGCGTTTCTGTATCAGCATACATGACGAGGTAAGCCTAATGAAGCAAGAGCGGTAGCTGTTTTAAGACACATTTCAAGGCAGCGAAAATTAGGTGTTCGAGGACAGGACAGAGCGAAGGTAATAAACAATGGTTTCAAAAAAGTTGAGAAAAACGTTAGTGACTCTTTTCTGTAAGAGTGCACCCAAATTAAACTAAACCAAGATAAGTCTATTGCCTTGTACGAAAAACCCTTTATTGTTCCCTTTAGCCAATCCAATTTTAACTTCTGGATACAAAATTGATCAGTTTTGGTTACCATTGAATGGACGAATCAATCTTGAATTATATGGATCGGTTGGTGTAGAGTTTGAAATTAGGCCGCAGGAGGGTTAGCCTAGTTGGTAAAGCGCTGGTCTGTGGAGCTGGAGGCCGCGGGCTCGATCAACAGCCAGACCGATACTCAAAGCCCTGGGTATTTATAAACTTCACTGTTCGTTCATGTAAATCCTTACGAACTTGAATTAACTTCCAAACACTGGTAATCCATCTTGAGACAAATTACAATTGTTGGCTGCCCTGTAGGTTATTTATTTTACACCATCTAGGTTTGGTTATTTGTGTGGGTATCCTGCAAATCTGTGGCCACACATCTTTAAAAACATCGATTAGTTTATCTGGTTCCTTGTTCTTATCAGGTCGTTTTTTCTGTTTCTTGCAAATGGAACAACATCGTTACAATTGTGGTACATAATATGTAGTATCAACAGCAAATTTAACTAACAGAGGTCAGAAGTTCTATCTTCTCAAAACCACGTCTTGCTTATGCAATATCTGTTGCGTATGTTGTGCGCAAAAGAACATTGAATCCTGAATACTTTCCGCAACATTTTCGCTTAGGTATAAATTTTGTTACTGCAGGTTCGATATCTAGTATCAAGCAAAGACAAGTACCGCGCGGCTCTGGCACTGCAAATCACCAATCTTCTCACAAGAGCAATGTTCGCGCACAAGCTGGGGATGAACGATCTTCCTCAGGTAACTAGGCTAACTACTGTAAAGCCCTAACTCATTCTATTTGATCTTTAACCAGTTTCCGCGAAGAATTACCGGATCAATGTAGGTTTCTGGGAAACTGCCCACCTACCCTTCCGTAAGCCACCATTTTGCCCTAAGTGAGAAGCGAGTGTTAATGTTAGCTTAGGGGAAGGGTAGGTGGGCAGTTTCCCAGAAACCTAAATTGATACGAATTACCCCACCCTTATTTCGCTCTGAGTGGTTATCTAGTGATGATGACGATGACGACGACGACGATGATGTTGTTACCATGCCCGTAATGGTAGTGGTTGTGGTGGTGGTAATTGTGGTGGTGATGATCATGTTAATGATGATGATGATGATATTAAATGGTAGTAGTGGCGATGTTGATCAACACCACCGTTGTCACCTTCATAATATTGGCCTAGGATTTAAAAATACGAAAGGTTAACCTTTTAGCCTTGTAAGATAGTTTCCTGTCTTTATCATCTTCATTATCGATATCAAAAAATTAATGTAGGTTTTTTATGTGTACCGTTAGCGTTTCCACAATTTAAAGGTAATAACTCAGCAACTTTTTTTAAACTCCTTTTCTAGTTTTGTGAAAGTTAATTTTCAAAGTGTCTCTTTCCTGCAGTTATTTTGTCTGGTAACGAGGACGTATCTTTGGAACTAAATAAAATTAATATGCGTTTTTTGACCTTTACGGGTAGCGTTTCAACAATGTAAAGGTAATGCACTCAGAACCTATAACAAGGCTCCTTCGCTGGTTTTGTTAAACCAAATTTTTCAAGAATCTCTTGCCTGCGGTCATTTTGAGTCCCATGTCATGTTGCCTGGTAACAATGACGCAATTTCATGGTCGCTTCATTGCGATTTAACTGTTTCACGTCCGTAGGCGGTCCTCGTAAAAACTAAGAGAATAATTAAAGGTCAGTTTGAACAAAATATCGAGAAACAAACAACACCAGACGAAACATCTGTTAAATAAGTAACTTCCTTTTCAGTGGAATGTTAATTAAGTTTCGAACGTAAACTCAAAGGTGAACATGTTTAAAAGATCGATATCGAATCCTCCCTCTACCTCCTAAAACAAGTGTTTAGACGCTTTTCTGTTGGCTGCAAGAGTTAGTAAGGTACTAAGGGACCTTTTAATTAGATTCAGCCGCTTCTTGTTTCGTTTTGTTTCAGTCAGTTGCATTTTTTAGTGCTGTTGACATTGATACTGTGCTTCGTAAAGAAGTGAACCTGGATTGCAAAACCCCGTCAAATCCTCTGGGACTCCACAAGGGACATGGAATATCTCCAGGTATGAAAAACGTTCTCATTGTTATATAGTGTTGTTGGTACCGTATCGATGTTATTATTAAACAATGTTATTTATTATCCTATCCTACTATAATATTACTTCCCGTACTGTTCATTTCCTCTTGCTGTGATGTTTCAGACTTGTTCATGTGCTGTTTTTGACAGCTTCGACTTTTTATTAGATATTGAGCAAAAGCGCGCGCGAGGCGCGGAAAAGTGCGTGTGTGTAAGTCACTATTGGTTCGGGTCAGGAGCCTATGTGGTAAAAGGCAATAGATTATAAGGCCCTTCAACAAAGTTATATGTGCTCCAAGTAAAATTGAAGAGAGTCCAGCCCCCTGAACCTGTGAAATACAGGATTGCCCGGCATATGACCACAAGATTCCATGTTTCACTCAGAAGCCACCGAGCGCTCCCACTGAACGGCGCTGTTCAGGCCCCAGTTTCTCAAAAAATGAACGGTCGTATCCACTGGATAAAGTGGATAAGTACTAGCAAAACCGATTGCGTTATATCTGCGGGATAGGGATTTATCTAGTGGATAGCGTTATCCCCTTAAGAACCACTGGGGCCAGGTAGCTAATCCCCTCTCCCTGCTCCCGTGTATGCGTTAAATAGCGTAATCAATCTTTTGAACCAACATGGGCCTGTTAGCACTCGACCAGTCTGATTTTTGGAGAAAGTAGCGCGATATTTTTAACCAGTCAAAAAGCGTAACTAAATTGCTTTCGACCACTGGCTTTTGCCTTTCGATTGAATACCGTTTTTGTCTGTTTCCTATTGTTACCAATGGTAATTATCATTCTTCAGGGGAAGCTTTAGACATTTACGACATCCTGAAACTTACTCATAACGGCATCCTAGAAGAAGATACCGACACCGAACAAGATCGCGTGAAAGGAGGAATTTCACAGTCTTCCAAGTGAGCGATTGATCAAATGAAGTGAAATTTTCATGTTGTATAAAGGTAAGAGACTTATTGACAGCCCCCTACCCCACCCCTTTATGTTATTTTTCCTGTTCACATCTTTTTGCGCTGTCCCCAACAATTTGAACGTCTGGAAGAGGCTACCCCGGGGGGACTCCCATATGAAAGGGGCGGTGATGCTTGTCGGAAATTTTGAATTAAACCCCTAAAGGAGACCAATCTGGGCGTAGCCAAACCTTTTTTGACCCCTAAAAGAGACCTTTTTAAACATTGATTACATGAATCGAGTAAATACAGCGAACTGGAAATATATTTTTTTTATCTCTCTTAACTTACAACCCTAAGAGACCTTTACGGCTAAATATTTTGGCGTTTTGCCCAGAACACCCTAAGTGAGACCAAAATCCAAAATTTACACCCGTAACGAAACGACGAGCATCCCCGCCCCTTTCATATGGTAGTCCCCCCGGGAGGTTACTCCTGTCAGTGTCCCATGACAGGAAGATTTTCGTGCAAAATGAGGTAAACTTGAAAAGTGTGGGGGCGTTGAATTGTTTTTTTTTAGCTATACCCATCCCCGGCCCCTTCTCGGTTTAGCTTTTCAGCCGTGTTTGTTTTCAACCTCGTTCCCAGGTTCTCTCCCCTGGCTAGGAGAGAACCCTGGGAACGTCGTTGGTTTGGTTTATGGTTATTAGCGGTTATTTTGTCACTGCAGACGATCCAGTTGGTTCGTGAGATGTCCTGAAATTGAGAAGAATCATGCAATAGCACAAAATTAATATACATACTAATCCTAGGGCTAACCCAGAATTCTTATACTCTGCGTAAGGCTTAATACGAGTTCCCTAAGAGTTCACTGTTTTCTGGTTTTTCTCTGGTGAGTTTTTATCCCACTAAGCCCGCAAAAAATTCGTGCCACACGGCCTGCACCGATGACGGCTGGAAAATATTTCAATATCCGGGAATCGTCTTTGATGGTTAAGTGGAATGACTAATGTATTTTGACCCTTGTTCCATTTCTTAATTTGCTGCAAGCCTGAAAGGGTGATTAGTTTGGCACTAGAACGCTTTGATTTCTCTTTCCCCATCTACATCATTCTTGTTCACTGGCGGAAAGATAAAGTAGGGTGAGATAGATTAAGGTAGATTAGGGCGGGTGCTGTTAGGGAGCTTGAATACAGTACGCAGAAATCGTCACTAAAAATCCTAAGATAAGTACTTTGGATTATTCATGGGCTACTTAGTAAAGCATATTTTCATCAATTTACGTCATGGCATCGTGTTTGCCTTTGGTTTAAATTTCTGTCTACTTGAAGTCACTTTTAGAGGTAATTATATTTCTTCTCATTCCGTTATACGCTCTTCTAGGCGCGCCCTTCGTAAAGGAGAGGTATTTTCCATTGTTCTGGTAAGGTCGAGCTAAATATGCGGAATTTAGCGGCACCGCAATACAGCCGAATTTCAGTTATCGCGGCGTAATACCAAAGCAGAAACGAAATAAACCTGTCAAACACATTTTGCCCGGAGCATTTCGGCATCTTAACTATCTGAGATATCTATGGTCATTCTTTGCCACTCAACGCTTAATTAAATTGACCTGCTAGATCAGCAATGGGCATTTGTGTTTCGTTGTAATCGTGTCAATTGCTTAGTATCTTCACCGGAATCGACTAACAAAGAAAATATTTTGAAAGATTTAATAGCCTTTATCCTCTTTTTGCAGCTTTTGCACAAAGGACGTTTTTCAGTGTAGATTAAGTGATACAAGTTAAGGGACTTTTATTGGATTACTGTTTACGTGTCTGCCAAGAAAGTGTAGTACTCATTCACCTTTGTTTGCGTGAGGAATTCAACCTGGATCTTGACGGAGATTCTAGTCATGTCGGAAAGAGTTTACAAAATTGCCCTCTTAGGAAACGAAGGAGTAGGAAAAACAGGTAAGCCTACAAGGTCATGAAACTTTTTTATTCCCTAATCAAGTTGAAAGACATCCTGGTTTAATCAATTGGTGTAATTCTGCGAAACAGGGGCTATATAAACCAGCCACAGAAACGTGCTGCTCAGTTTAGGATTCTTTATCTTAAGGTCACAATTCACCGCTTACTCCACAGTCAGAAACTTGAATTATAACCGTCGAATGATGAGATTTGAAAACGTTGAAAGCGAAAATGTCAATCGTTGAATGTATAAGTCAAACGGTTTTACTTATATTTTATGAAGGCTGCAAAGTACGGCGGATCTGGGGTCTTGCTTCATTTTCTGCATCCCGAAACTCGTCCATGTCAAAATGGCTGATAATAGGAACCGTTTTCCGCGGTTAGGCGAGACAGTATAGATTTCGATTCAGTCTTGTTCCATAATGCATAGCTGTGCTAGATGTCCAAAGGGCTTCGTGTTTGGAGGTTAAGTTACTGTAACATAAGTGTCTACTTAATAGAGCTGAAATGAGGCCGGAAAAAAGGTTGCTGTTTTTCTTCAACACGGCCTGCTTTGGCGAATTCCTTTTACCTACCACACTTTTTCTTAATAATAGCGACTGAAATATGAATTTGAAGTCTGGCTCCACTAAGCTAATAGGCACACGTTATCTCATGTGAAAACAGATACTTGTCGCTGTATTTTTTTTTTGTGTTCTGTGCATGCAAATGGATCAGCATCGAAAAGCCGGGACAAACTGAGAGGCTCCCAGACGTAAGTGGGAACAACTGAAAACGCAGGCGTTCATTTTTTTTACGGGGCGTAAAAATATACGGTGCTTCAAGGGAAGAACACTGATGAACTTTTGATTTTTATGACAAAATAAGCAGCCCCATGGGATAGCATCCCACTCCGTGGCTTTCTTTTGTATTAGGCTGTAAGTATAGAAAATCCTTTAAACTTGATTGCATTTCTTTATCCCTCCTCCCGGCACAAGTGATGTAGTAAAAGTTCTTAAAATTAAACGAGCCGCAGCGCAATTTGAACTTTCAAAAGTTTACGTCAGTGGCCAAGTAACATTAAGTCAGAAACGAGGGACGTTTTTATATAAGGTAGCATATCTGGCGCCTTTGTCGATGGCGGACTAAGGTTAGTTTCACCACCACTGATCATCCGAAATTGGCCCATATAGTCTGCGTTGCATGGATTTGGAAACAATCCTCAAAAAAAGAAAGAGACAACTCATAGCACAACAGGGTCACATTGATTAGGCGGCGTCTTGTGCAGCAAACATCATCAAACAATAATCAAGTTTTGATGATTGCAATTATCTTGCTATCTATCAGGCGATAAGCTTTAAAGGTTTATTTTTGTTTGGTGTGGTTTTATTTATAGCTAATCAAGTTTCTTTAAGTCACGTTCTGACGTTTCTACCGCAAAGTAATAACGTGAGAAGAAAATAAGGAAAACTGAAATAGCCCCTAGCTTTTCACTTATTTGCGGAAATATGATAGAGGTATTTGGGCATGTATTTCAATGTGTAACATCATTGAAGAATTACGCAATGATATCGACGAAATTTCAGATAATGATTATTTTACTACTCTGGTCAGTTCTTTTTTTTAAAGTGCTTTACACGCACGAAAAACGACGCATTCAGCCGCAGCCATTTGCTCAAAATGTACTACAACATGGACTACTAGCTTTCATAGCTTTGCACTTGCTTTTGAGAGGAAATCCTTAGTGTCCTAATTCAAATAGAGTAAATTAGTTCCGTTTGCTTACTCTAATATCTTCAGTTTTTTAATGCGCATCAACGATGGGTCAACGTAACGTTTTTTGTTTCCGTTTGTTTTTCAGTTTGTTTGTTGTCGGTGTGCTCCGGAACCTTTGATATAGACTGTTAAACAGTCTCGGCTTTTCAATAGAAAGGCGGCCGCTCCAGATAATGTAATTTGCCTACGACAACTCTTGCGTTCCTTGCTATTAACCACCATTTCTCGCGAGAACAAAGATATTTTTCTCACATTCCTGAAAATTGACCTTAACAAGGACATCGGGTCATGGGATGTTGTCATTGTTCGGCAAAGTTACATTTTACTGATTAGGGTCAAAAAATAAATGGATTTCCGCCTAAATAAGATGCAAAAGATACGCCCGTAAATTTTCTTCACTCACCTTTGGCTGATAATTAGAAAAGAAGAAGGAAGGATTGAAAATTTAATATATGCGTATACTAGAACATTCCCAAAACAAAGTATCTTTGTCAGGGCTTTCCACAGATCTGTAGTGTAGTGAAAGTTTTGTAATCTACACGCTAGCCTCAACGAAAAGAAAAGCTTACAGTTCGCAATAAGCTCTGCTTTCAGGAGGTTATATCTGCACTGTTGCATGGACGATTTTTCTAAAGTTGCGGGCTCTGCTCGAGTATAAGCTTACCACTGACCAGAAGTTCAACGGATTTAAATTAAATCTAACGAGTCCCCTGTAAGTAAATATTCCAAGAATTCCAAATCCGTTTTTGATTCCTTGTAATGAGTTGAGTGCTTCAGTCCTTCACAGGCTGCAGGAACAACAGTATTTTTCTCGAAAAAAACCGAAACATGTGCGAAAAGAGTCTTGCACTATACGCAGGCAGATGTCAAAATTTAGGGAAAACGTTTTTCACTAGAATGGTAAAACAGGATCTGTTGTCACAGTAAAATGTAATGATATTCTTCTGGCCCCAGTTGTTCAAAAGTTGGATAGCGCTATCCACCAGATAAATCACTATCCAGTGGATAAGTATTGCGCTATCCAGTGGATGGTGATTTATCCGATGGATAGCGTTATCCACCCGTTTTGAGCAACTAGGGCCTGATGTTCGAAGAGTATGACCCGCTTTATATAAAGGTAGACGTACGTACTTCTAATCTTAGCACAGCGAAAGAAAAATTATCACGATACAACCCTTATAATAGTGGTTTTATTTCTTGCAGCGTTGCTGGTTCGTTTTCTTTGTCACCGTTTTATTGGAGAATATGACCCAACAATTGGTTAGTATTGCGTTGTCTTTTCACAATCTGTTTGTCCTTGCCAATCTCTTTCTTTTATTTACCTACTTAGACATCCGGGGGGAAGGAGTGTACTCCGGATTTCGCTTGACGGGATGATCAAATGGGGGAAAAATTAATACTATAGGCTCCTGTCAAATCCCAATAAATCCCTAGGGCTACCAATAAACCCAAAAAAATCCCTGGACCAAAAAAATAACCCCAAAAAAAATCCCATGCCGACTTTCCGAACCTTAAAAATTCCCATAAAGTAAAGAAAGGTTTGTTTGAACTTTATTCGGAGAACTAAGTGGCCGGAATACGCGGTACTACCACCAATACTCAGATTGTTTTGAATACCAAAAAAATCACTTCTTAAATCAAGCCATCAAAAAAATACCAGCCACTACCCAAAAAATTGCCGGAATCGAAAATTTCAAACCCAGAAAAATCCTTCGATCATCCCCGTCACTTTAAAGCCGGAGTACCGTCCCAACCCCAACCGGTCAACTGAAAAACGGTCAAAACGCATCAAAATTAAAACAATGACCTAACATATCGCAGGCGCGTGTTTTTGTAGCATGCGCCTAGAGTTCATCCTACATCAAAACGTGCAATTCTATCGTTTGCAAACGATTTAGAGTCGACCGTCCAAAACTCATCCAAATGGTAGTTTGGACGCGAATCGATCAATGCGTTTCCGATGACAACAAAACAAGTACTTTGGAAAACGTATCAGTGTTGACAGGGCCTAAAACTCGCGCCCTAAAGGTGGATTTCCACTGCCGCGTAATTTTTTACATGCGTTGATGAGATGAAGGCAATGTTAGTGAATGTATGAAAGGTCGCGCGTTAACGTAAAATTTGAGTGAGGATCAACTTATTTGAGCGAGGTTCAACTTCAACGTATTCTCGCCACCGCTCATACAATACCTCTTATTCATTTACGCTCGTAAAAGATTACGCGAGCGTGGAAATTCACTCCAAGTGCCTTACTCTGTCAATAATAGTAAACTTACGCAACAGGACGAGAGAGCATAGAAGACTAGCAAACCTTGTGTGACAAGCGTGACAATAATTTTGTTTAAAAAAAATTGCCTCAAACTTCATCTTCCTTAAAAACAGATCTTTTTGTAAAAGACCAAAAAAACATTGTTATTTAGTGAAAATTACGACAATTCAAAGTAGACAGACTGCAAATTATATATCTACGTACAAATAATAGCCCTGTCACGTTTGTCACAAGCGTTTTGTTGTCCTCTTCTTTTTGCCGCGTCCTGTTGCGTAAACTCAGCAATAGCAGTTATCGTTGCTTAGAATTAGCCGTTGTTGTTGTTGTTTTCCGCCTGGTTGTGACCTTTATCTCCTTTTTGGGTTGAATTTTGAAAACGTTTTGAACTTTTCGAGTTTTAATGTTTCGTCTGTTCTGAAAAAAAAAATCGCCAAAAATGTTATGCTCAGTGCTCAGTACGAGCGTCAGGTAGAGCATACAAGCCCAGTGTTACTGAAATTTACAGTTGTTTTATGAAAGCCCGAGAGAGGGCAGACAACAGTTAACGAATAAATTCGAATGTTGATATGCCAGCCGAGTGTATAAATGTTGCCTATCATACTACAGACAAGACTTTGAAATGATATATCTTCCATTCGTTTATTCCTTTTTTCGGTTCTTTCTAGAGGATTGTTATCGCCGTACAGTGATAGTAGATGGCGAGGAAGTCACTATTGACGTCTTAGACACAGCTTGTAGAGTAAGTTAACACGTAGAGGTCGTCATGACCTGTACCATGTTTTAACCCTTTAAGCCCTAAGAGTGATCAGCATCAAATTTCTCCTTGTAATATCACTGCTTTATAAAACAGAGTGGTCATGAGAATTACGGACATGATCACACAAGATGAATCTAATTAATACTTCAACAAATTCTCGCCGCTACTTCTATTGAAAACGTAGAGGGATAACTAAATTAGTTAGTTAGTTAGGGTTTAAAGGGTTACGTGGATTTAAGCTTTGTCCCCACGCATGTTTAATTTTCCGTCCACATTTATCGCTTATTCTTTTCCAAACTTTTTCGAATAGGCGATTTGCACATGACGTCTTTGGCGGACTACTACAACCACAATCCTTCAGGGTGTTGCTTTCTTGTGCAAATTAGGGCTGCAATAATTAAAACCTCGCCTGGATCATCACATTACATATGAAAGGAAAAACGAAATGAATTCTGCTAGTAGTCGTAAAGGTATCCGGTTACTTCGTTCCATGGTCAGATCGTTCCACTTAACAGTCATATCGTTCCACAATATAGTCAGAACCTCTCACGAGTCTTTAAGCCACGAGCAAAAACAAGGGCGCTACTCATGTGTATACCTCGTTCTCTAAGCCAAAAGCCAAAAAAAGCGCGCTTCGCGTCGAGTTTTACACTAAAACTATGGAACGATCTGACCATAAAATGGAACGATCAGACTTGGAACGCGATCTGAGCATGGAGCGAAGTGACCGTAAGACCGGAAGGTCGTTGATAAATAGGAGGAAGAGGACAGGACCCAAAACTGAGCCCTGAGGAACTACAGATCTCAATACTTCAGTATCAGATAAGGTTCCTGTAATGTTGACACACTGTCGACGGTCTGGCAAGTAGCTCTTGAGCCACAGTAATGCTGACGAGGAGCAACCATACATTTGTAGTTTGGTTACTAGCAGGTCAAGATTTACAACATCGAAGGCTTTGCGTAGATCTAAAAATATTACACCTGTGTATAAGCCTTGATCCATTGTCTCAAACCAGTCATCAGTCATTTTAGAGCTGACAAATCCTATTAGCGTACTTACGTGTGGACAACAGGCCATTTGCATGATGGCGTCATTTTACTACTACGTTTTTTACACTTTCGATTCTTTCCGCTTTCAGAATTCAACTTCTAAGCTGAGAGACAATTTCCTGAGCACGGGAGACGGTTTTATCGTGATATATTCAATAGCGGATAGGAAGAGCTACATCACAGTTCCACGCTACAAGGAGATCATCGAAGAGTCACGAGACCGGGCCAATCAGGACCCAGTGCCCTTTCTGCTGATCGGAAACAAAACTGACTTGGAAGAACACCGCACCGTGGCGAAAAGCGAAGGACAAACTTTAGCCAATCGATACGAATGGTTATTTGGTGAAGCGTCTGCGGCTGATTATGACGGCGTGGATAAATCCTTTTGTGATTTAATTCGTGAAATACGAGCGCGAAGGCGCAAAATGAGTCCGCCTGACTTTCCAACACGTACGTTGGTCAATCTCCGTCGATCTAGCGGCAGTGATATTGACAGTCAAACGGATGAGAGCGCATCAGAATTGAAAAAGACACGCCGGACCGTCAAAAAGAAACTTAGTGACTCCAGTATTAATTATAAGAAAAAGTTGTTTGGTGTATGGCATTGACTCCTCCTTCAAGTATCCCTGTAAAATCCAGAACACGACAAAGAACGAAGAATTCCCTTTTGTAAATTAAAACAAACATTACTACATAAGCAAGTTATACTTGATAGCTTTTGTTTGAATGGCGTCACCGATGAAATACGAGGCAGGAACTGTTACCTGCGCTGAATAAATTTTGTTGAAGTTGTTTTCTTGTGTGTGTTTCTTTTTCTGTGGTTGTACAAGCGTTCGGTCTATTAGAAAATGGTTGTGTTTCTCTTGAGTTACGGTGCTTTCCCCTACGAAATAGAACTTAATTATTTCTCTCTGAGTTAGACTTACATAGAATCACCTCCTTATCAAAGCGTTAATTGGTAGCTGCTTATTACAGGATCACCTAATATGTTCATTGAGTGTGGTGAAATAATATCTTAATGAAATATCGTGCAGGAAACACTTCATTACTGAACAATCGATATCAATGTGATCTACACTTAAGCAAATTTTATAACTCTCAGGGTGATGTTACTTAAGGGTAAAGTAACAAAGAATCAATTGTCCTGTACCGCAGTATTCATTATTTCTATGACTTACAATTCACAAGTAAACAGCAACCTACCCTGGTCTACCTAACTCCATCTATCTAACTCCCTTAACACCCACTAAAGTTGGACAAGAAATTAAAAAAGATGTTTAAAAAACGAAGAAAGGGTATGCGCAATATTTGTGCGCTGCCCCTGATTGTATCTAGAGCAACCGAAAGTAACTTCGCTTACTCTCATAGTAAGCATTCGATAAACTTTTGATTTCTTGAACACCAGTAGCCTGCTTAAAGGGACTATTCCCACCCCCTGCCGTAACAGTCGTGGGGAACTACGATCGACTTAGTATGGTAATCCTTGTTATGAAAGGACAGAAGACCATAGCCGCCTGTTCCAGGCGTTCGTAGGCGCGGGCAAAAAATTAATAAGTCCAGTCTCTCCTCTTTTTTTCCCGTCGTTTTCCCCGGGTACGTTTTAACTAACTCTCCACAATCTGAACGCCGTGTTCTGCTATCTGAATGCCTGGAATACGCTAAGAAGACCGTGGAATGTACTGTTTCGCTTTGTCTCTTTACCCTGCGAGGAAGCCACCAATAATGGTGAGCGAAGAGAGCTGCGAGAGAACGCACGAGCGAACGCCGCCCTTCACATTCGCGTCTCTGTACGCGTTCCTCTTCCGCTTGACCCCTTAATTGACAGCTTGCTTGTGGACCTTTGTCTCTTGCATTTCACAACTTTCGTACGGACCATTCCCAACAAAGGGCTTTCGCGTATGCGCTTGTCACTTTTGCTTGCAATATCGCTGTGGGGTGGCGGGTGCGCCCTAGGGTCCATATGTTATACATGTAGTTGGGCCACTTGTTAAAATAAATAATAAAGTTTTAAAAAAATAAAAGGGTACAAAAGTACTAAAACAAAAGTAATAGAACAACATGAAATCCGCGAAAAATTTTCGATTCTTTCCGAAAGGAAAGAAAAGGCCGAATTCGACTTTATCGAACGGGCTGAGAACGACCGCCTATCCACGGCCACAGGTGCTGTCAACTACTGTTTGACGCGGGAGTTTTTGCCTGCTGTGTTTCGACCCTTGGCCGGTTCGCTTCTCTTTAACCAACCTGAAAAACTTGGACTCCCCCGTGTTCCCCATGTTGACTTCAAACTTAGCGTGGACACCCGATCTGCATAGGACACCAGCTCCCAGGAATCCCGCCTTCAAGCCGTTCAGAGACCCCAGTCTCCAAGTAGCTGGATTACAGGCGTGCGCCACAATTCCCGGCTACAGTCGACTCCCGATAACTCGAACCCTCGCTAACTCGAACCTCGCGCTAACTCGAACCAAAATCGATTTCCCTGGTTTCCGTCATACATTCACTGTAATTTTACCCTCGGTAACTCGAACCCTCGATAACTCGAACTCCCGGTAACTCGAACCAATTTTCGTTTCCCTTCAGGTCATTTTCTATATAATTTTACCCTCGATAACTCGAATCATGTTTTGAGCCCTTAAAAGTCGGGAAAAAAGTCATCTACTGGCGTCCGAAACATTGAATTTTGGATTTCCTATTGACGTGTTGTAGGAGTGTAGTTTACTAGTGGAGGCTAATGTTGATTGTTACAGGCTAACGTGAAGCAGCTTTTCTCCTCAAAACAGTAAAACGCATGCTCTATTTAGGCTATGTTTCGTTACGTTACGTTCTGATTTATAATCTAAAAGTATCTTTTAATTTTCACTTGACATTTCTACTATTAAACAGGGGCGGATCTAGGGGGAGGGTGCAGGGGGTGCGCACCACCCCCCCCCCCCCTTCCCCGAGATGACCTGCGGTTTTCTAATACAACTGGTATTCTGCAAAAAAAAAGAAAACTATGTGGTTTATTGGTGTTGAAGTAGAGCAAGAGACGAGTGCACCCCCTCCTAAAAAAAATCCTGGATCGACCCCTGCCCATCTATGCTTTGCTTTCCTGATAGCGTTGATGATATCGCTTGCGCCAGTTTCTTGACGAATCCAGGGGCGCTTTCCATTTAGTCAAAATTTCCGGAATTTTCGGTTCGGCCGTAAATGGAACACGTTTCGTCGGTTCGTCCCATTGGAAAATTCCCAGAAAAAGTGGAAAATCTAAAAAGGTGGGCCCGTTTTCCCGGTTGGAATTTCCGAACGGAATCAGTCGTGTTCCATTTACGTTTCTCGTAGTTTGTACCAGTTCCAGGTCCACCGTCGGGCACCGCAACGTGCCGGGGTTTACGACCAAATGGACAAATGGAACAACTTTTTACCAATCGGAAATTCCACTTTTGCTCCCACCGAAATTTCCGGGTTTTTTTCCTAAATGGAAAGCGCCCCAGGTGTTTCGCTTTCGATCTCGAAGGAGAATGCCTAACATTATGCGTTCCATCTTAAGCTGTGCGACCGCACGCTTAAACGTTTCTAACCGAACTTTCCAGAAATGTTACCACCGTTTTCCTTGATACGCGACTTTTCAAATCGAAACACCCGCTGAAACGTTTCCAAAATTTCCGTCAATCATACACGTCATACCATATATGGAAGTGTTACCATATATGGAAGTGTTATGGAAGTGTCATACCATATATGGAAGTGTTACCATATATGGAAGTGTGTCAACCTCCACGCGCGACGGAAAGATGGCGGATTCGACAGATAGCTTCGAATTCACCAGTCAGTATAAGACATGCAATATGTACCTTTCTTCGTGTAAAGCCCATTTTCTTCAGTAGCTTAGCGATCGTGGACACGTGAATTGTCTTTCACAGTGCGAACTGTATCCATTCCTGTATTTCATCCTCGTAAATCTCTGGATATTGCTGGATTACCCTTCTTATGAATAACACGTCCTGTGCTAAGTCCAGGTGAGAAAAACAATGGTTATGTATTCGTTTGATACAATTAGGCTCATTTAGAGAAGTGATTACAAAAACCTCAGTTCAAATCGTAAGCTTACTTACCTTCCAACTTTCTCACTCTACCCGGCCGTGATTGATAATGAACTGTTTTTGTGTTCTGGTAAAGATTTCGAATCTTTTTTACAAACGTCTTCCCTACGTGAAGTAGTCTAGCAACACGTTCGACAGTAAATCCCTGAACGAGCAAATACACTACTCGCCAACGCAAATTTAAAGAATAACTTGCCACCATGTTTACATGTAACTTCGACCGGCCGCCATATTTTAAATTTTCAGGCCCAGTCCAACACTTCCATATATGGTATGACGAGTATGATTGACGGAAATTTTGGAAACGTTTCAGCGGGTGTTTTGATTTGGAAAGTTGCGTATCAAGGAAAACGGTGGTAAAAATCTAGTCTGTAAATATGCACTCCGATTTCAGAAATGCCTTCATTTGTCAAGGATTATTATGTTAAGGTCATAAATTAATTCAGCATGTAGGAAGACTTTTTATATTTATACAATAAAAGAAATATACTTTTATCAATATTTGCGATCCACAGATCAGAATTCCCAGGGTCACTTTCCATTTATGGAAAAACTGCTCTTCATATTTTAATTCATTTCATGAAGGAAATGGAACGATACTTTCCGGCCTATTGCACAAAACCGACCAACGCGGACTATACCGGCAGGTGGTCTCGTATGAAACGTTCATACCAAACCGGAATGTTTCTAACCGAAATTTTCAGAATTTTAAAAAGTATACTCAGTGCACTTGAGATAATCACTCGTCACACTTTATCTTAGTCGTTGAAGTGTCCCTCACTATATTGCCACTGATCAGTAGCAGAGAAACAACATGAACCGCTTAAAAGAAAAATAAGTACATGTCAACTGGCCACAAGTATAAGGTGAAAGACAACTCCGTGCCTGAGGTAATTACATAGACGTTTACAAATGCCTTTCACTTTTTAACTCTTACAATTAGACCGAAAGTAGCTATCATGAAAAGATGCGCATACAATCTCATTTAGATTGAAAATAAATGAGCAAGGGAAAGAAAACGTTCGTAAACAAAGTTGATTGATATGAACGTCAAAGGGCGGGACATTTCAACTGGCCATGGATATAAAGGTAAATAGAGTCTTCATGTTTGGTCTCAAACGTCTGAAGTTCGCTCGTTTAGATGGGTTTACTATCAGAGGTAGTTGGTCAAATCTTGTTCAGTTTTACGAGAAGCGTAACGGAGCACTACAATCCAGAGGAACCTGAATTCACTGCAGAATTTTTTGGCTACGATCCTTTAGAAAGCACTGGTCGAGAATGGTATTACCAACCGGTCGATGAGCTTATTTACCAAGAATACAGTGACAGAGAAGCTACCACATGGGATTATCTCGGGTCGAGCGTTCTTGATATTAAAGTTATTAACGCATGCTTACCAGATGAAGTAACTGATGAACATCAAGAAGATGATAGAGCAATGGCTTGGAAACGTCTAAGGCCATCCGCTCTCTGTACAGTTGGCAAATCAATGTGTATTGGAGCTTTGATCTCGGTTCTTGCTGCTATAGTAATGGGTACACTATACACGCTAATCTGTTACGCGCGATTTAAGAGTTTATATTTGAGCTGCCATCATTCACATAACTCAACCTCAGTTCAAATGCAATGGAAAATAACAATTTCTGGTGTGATTGGCTGTGGTTTCTATTATATCTGGCCCTTTACT